GGGAAAAAGATTTTGGAGGTCTCACAGGCCCACCATCCTCATGCGTACGTTCCTTCTATTTGATTAGAATGAGGTATATTTGTCCCTCTTTTTCATGGCACATAGATCAACTTTAGTTCCTCTAATTTAATATTTTTTAAAATTATATCATATCGCAGGAAATAAAATTAGACTAAAATGAACCATAATATTTTTTTTTAGAAAAAGAGAAAAGAAAATAAAAAAAAAAAACAAAAGGAACCCAAAAGAGGTAGCACAAGTCTTTTCGTTAAATGATACAACCCCTTTTTTCATTTGTGCCTGTGGTACTCCCTTGATACCTTAAAATAAAATGTGAAAAAGATGGTTGATTTTTTGGGAAAAAAAAAAAAGAAATAAAAAAATTTGACGATGTGAAGAGTGGAACTTGCAACTTGGAAAACAGATATGTTCTCCAAATTACCTTTATATAATCTTTAATTTTTTTTGTTATTAAAATATTGTGCACGACCATAGTTACTGGGCTCCAGAATCTCGCTTCGGAGCCAGGATCTCGCTTAGAACCCATTCCCATCATTTTGGGATCTCGCTCCAATTTTTAGGATTCTCGATCCTATTCACAACGGAGCTCGCTCCCGGTAATTTAGGGATCTCGCTCCCATTCACAACGGATCTCGCTCCCACTAAAGCACGGATCTCGATCCCATACGCAATGAATTTCGCTCCCTCTACTTCATGGATCTCGCTCGCATTGTCTCACGGAATGCATTCCATAACGTTATAGATGTGGTTCCTGAACAAATTAGATCCTCGCTCCCAAAATTTTAAGATTGTGATCCCGACGTTCTCAGAACTAGATCCTAACCTAACAATGTTGTGCCCTTGATCCTATAATCTATGGAGCTCACTCACAAGGAAAGTGGATCCCGATCCTGAAAGTATAAGGTTCTCGATTTATGAAATCTCGGATTGCGACCCCTAGGAATTCGGACGTTAACTCCATGTCTATTTATTTGTTCATT